CCTGACACAATAGTAATATTAATGACTATGTCTTATTGAGCTCTGCACCAAGCTAAATTCATCTAGACTCATTTCCTCATTTGAAACTCATCACACAACTATTATTATTCCATTTTACAGGAAAAAAAAACAAACAAACTGAAGCCCAAAGGATTAAGTAACTTGCCCTAGGTTATATGGGCTAAGAAAGCAGTGAGACCCGGATTCCACGCTAGTTCAAAGGACTCCAAAGCACATGTCACCAGGGTCTGTTTTACTGCTACTTCTGGGTGCCAAGGGCCCTGGGACCATTTACTAAACATATTTCCTATTGTGTGTGTTTCGGAAACAATTTATTTAAAAGCACAATGCATTTAGAAGTATTAGGGAAGGGATGCCTGGGTGGCTCAGCGGTTGAGCGCCTGCCTTTGGCCCAGGGCGTGATCCCACGGTCTCAGGATTGAGTCCTGCATGGGGCTCCCTGTTTGGAACCTGCTTCTCCCTCCACCTGTGTCTCTGCCTCTCTCTCTCTGTGTGTCTCTCATGGATAAATAAATAAAATCTTAAAAAAAAAGTATTAGGGAAAGTACTAATGTATTTCTGAATGATCAGATAATAATTCCTGTTTGCTAAGAACAAGAAACAAGACTTTTATATATACATGCTTTCTAGATTCTTCATCATGCCAGGTCTTTGGTAACATAGGACCTCAAAAGATCTTAGATTGGGCATTCTTTTTAGCTGGGCACAGGAATGGGGTTTCAGGAGTAATTTGGTTAACAAAATAAAGGATAAGCTATCTTCTTTTTATGTTATTAAAACTCTCTGACAGCAAATTAATTTTTACTTATCTTAATAAGTAACAACACCTACAGGTGTTATGAATAGAATTAAACTAATTGAATGGTTCCAACAAACACCTAAAAACTCACAAGATTCCCCCTGTCCCCTAAAAAACTTCTCAGGAGAGGAATCTAGGAACAAATACAGAAGCAAATCTAAAATTATGTGCTTGGGACGCCTGGGTGGCTCAGTGGTTGTGTGTCTGCCTTTGGCTCAAGGCCTGATCCCAGGCCCGGGATCAAATCCCACGTCGGGCTCCCTGCATGGAGCCTGCTTCTCCCTCTGCCTATGTCTCTGCCTCTCTGTCTGTCTGTCTCATGAATAAATAAATAAATAAAATCTTTTAAAAAAATAAAATAAAAAATAAAATTATGTGCTTAAGGTACTTTAAAGGCACTTTCTTTAGACATACGTGACACGAATGGACCCCACAAAACTTGTTCTGGTAACTAAAAAGCAAGTTCCTCTGCATTCACAAGAGCAAAGGTAAATAGTAGATTCAAGTCTCCCTAAAGTTATAAGCATCATCTGGATTTCATGAATGTCCTCTACGAAAAACTAAAAAGGAATTCAAACCAGCAAGGCAATAAAATATTAAAGATACACCAAACACCTGGGCATTGTACTATTTTTAAAATATCAGTTTAATGAAGAAAGTAAGAACCCTGGAACACCAATACTGTGGATAAGGGACAGTCACCTGTTCTCTCATTTAATTCTTGAAACAACCAAAGGAAGTTGATAATACCCTTATTTGAGGAAATTGAGCTTCAGAAATTTTAGGAATTTGGGCAGCCCCAGTGGCTTAGTGGGTTAGCGCCTGCCTTCAGCCCAGGGCCTGATCCTGGAGACCAGGGATCAAGTCCCACGGGCTCCCTGCATGGAGCCTGCTTCTCCCTCTGTCTGTGTCTCTGTCTCCCTCTCTCTCTGTTTCTGATGAATAAATTAATAAAATCTTAAAAAAAATTTAGGAATTTATCTAAGGTTAGTCGATTTTAAGAAAGTAAATATAACTTAAAAGCATATACAATCTCAAATAAGTAAAAGAACTGAATGAAACCTGTGGGAACCTAAGTTCACTTGTTTTCCACTACTCCTTGCTTTCAGAAGGAAGGAAAAGAAAGGAAGGATGGAAAGAAAAAAAGAAAGGCAGGCAGGGAGGGTGAGAAACCTCTTAGAGCAGGAGCTGGTTGGTGCCATGAAGGCTAAGATTCTAGAGACTAAAATCCAGGTGAAACACGGAGCCAGCATTAAATTTGCCTTCACTGGCAGACTTTTTCATTAAGCCACTTGCTTTACCAAATCATTACTGTATTTATTTATTTAAAGATGTTATTTATTTATTTACTTGAGAGAGCGCATGCACGTGCATGGATGAGAGAGAGAGTGAGCAGGGGAAGGGGAGCAAAGGGAGAGGGACAAGCAGACTCCCAGCTGAGCACAAAGGATGTCCCGCTCCATCCCAGGACCCTGAGATCTTGACCCTAGCAGAAGCAGGATGCTTAGCCCACTGAACCACCCAGGCACCCCACCAAATCTTATTGTAAAGTCTCCATTTAAAAACAAAATCTATAAATTGAACACCAATAAAAAATAAATTTATTATACAAAAAACAAAATCTAAAACAAACAAAAAAACCCCACCTCCTCGTTCTGTCACTAAGAGAACAAGTGCACACTGGCATGCATCTTCTTTAAAATAAAAAAGCCAGAAGCAAAGCTTAAAAACTGCCAGAGCTGCTGTCACACAGATGGCATTTTTGTTCACCACCAGTATTAAGCCCCATGAGCCTCTGTCACCCCCCCTAACAGATGCCCAGAGCCACCAAGAATTACCAGAGCACCGCCACCAGCAAGCGGCAAAAGAAGACAGTGGTTAAGGTTTCCTTACCTAAAATTAAAACAAGGAAGCCTCCACTACATAATGAAAGTCATTAAGAAAATTCAGAGAGTAATTGCAGGCAGACTTCTCCCCCAGAAAGCAATCAGCTAATAAGCATCAATTATCTTTTGCACCTAAAGGTATTTATAGGAGGTTCAAATAAAGCCTCCACCGACGGTCCCAGCATTAAGGAAAGGCATTTTACATCTCACACAAAAGTACTCCCGAGACGACTTCCCATTTTCTGTGCTTTTTTTTTTTTTTTTTTTTTTTAGATGCTCTCGTATTTACTATCCCTGGAGATTAGATCACACACGTGCAGTCCTGGTTCCTAAGGGCAGCGTCCTTCGCGCGTGCCCTACTGTGTGCCCGGTGCTCTGGCCGAGCTCCGGGGAGCAGAGGCTGGACCCCGCTGCAGGCCCGCGCACCGCCAAGCTGCGGAGAATCCTTTCTGGGGCGCAGGCCGGGCGGTCTCCGGGAAGGGAGCGAAGCCGGGAGGACGGGGGGGGGGGGTCCGGGGGGGTCCGTAGGGGTGCAGGGCCCCTGCCTTGCGGCCCGCATCCCCTCTAACCGCCCGTCCCCCCCCCCCCCCACAGTCGGCCAATTGGCCACGCTCCGGGGCCCAGGCGCAGCCCCCCTCGGAGAAGTTGGGCGGACGACTAGACGCTTTTTCTTCCACTTGGAGAAGACGTGGGGGAAGTGGGGGGGAAGCACCCCCCGCCCTCTGCACCCCCGGCGCCGCCAGGCTGCACGCACGCCAGCCCAGTGACAGCGCGGGGCATCCCCCGGGGAGGGAAGGAGACGGCCCGGGGCAGTGCCACGGGAGCTGCGGGAAGGAGACGGCCCGGGCGTGCCACGGAGCTGCGGGGAAGGAGACGGCCCGGGGCAGTGCCACGGGAGCTGCGGGGACGTCCCTGCCATCCCGGGGGGCAGTGACCCGCTTCCTCATCACCCCGGACCTGAAGCTCTCGAAGACGCGGGGAGGGCAGCCGGTCCTGCCGCAGGCGCGGCGGAAGCGATCGCGCCCTCCATCCCCGCCCGCAGGTGCGCCGCGCGCATTAGGGGCTAAGGTCTTTTGCAGGCTCCTTGGCATCGGCGCCCTAAGGGTCAGGGTTAGGGACTTCGAGAGGGGCGGCCGACCCTGCGGGGAAGCCAGAGCATCCCCCCCGCCCCCGGGAGGACCCGCAGGTCCTGCCAGGCTCGCCCCCCAAAGCTGAACCGCAGACAGGTGCGCGGCCAACCCAGACCACCCAGACGCCACCTGCGAGCCCCGTGTGCTCCCGGCAGGTGAAGCCTCCCGGCCTCCTGCACCGCGCTGCCATCCCCGACGCGCCCGGTGTCCCGGGGCCCCCGCCTGGTCCCCCCCACTCCGGGGCGGGCTCCGCAGCCGCAGGGCGCGGACAGCTGCGGCCACCGCATCCCGGATCCCGGGAGCCGCCGGCTCGGGGGCACCGCGGGGCCGGGCGGGAGGGGCAGCCCGGGGGGCCTCCTTACCTGGCGCTCTCCGGCCCGGGCTGGGACATCCGTCGGGGACGCGCCCCTCCGCGCGCTCGCAGCGCACCTGGCCGCCGCCGCCGCCGCCACCGCCACCGCCACCGCCGTCGTCGCCCGGCCCCGGCCCCGGCCCCAGCCCCGGCCCCGGCGGCCGCGCTAGCGCTTCATGGCGCACGGGGGCTGGCCCCGGGCCGGGCAGCGTGTCCAGTCGGCGGCGGCTCCTCCGGCTCCCGCCCGTCGCCAGGGGCTCCCCGCCCTCCCCCGCCCCGCGCCCGTGCGCCCGGGCGCCCGTCCTCCGCGGCGCCCTCGCCCTGCGCACGCCCGACCGGCCCAACTGGTTTCTCCGCTCCGGGGCGGCGCCTCCAGTCGCTCTCGGCGGCCGCGGCCGGGGCCCGGGCCGGGGCGGGGGCGGTGCCGGGCGTCTGCCCTCCCTCGGTCCCTCCCGGGGGCGGAGAGGGGCCGGGCGGGGAGCCCCGGGGCGGGCGGGCGCGCCAGGCCGGGTCCGGCCCCGCGCCCTCCGTGCGCGCCCCCGGCAGTGACCCCCGCCCCCCGGCCGTGCCACCCCCGCCCCCCAGCAAGTGCCCCCCCGCCCCCGGCAGGTGCCCCCCCCGCCCCGGCCGTGCCACCCCCGCCCCCCAGCAAGTGCCCCCCCGCCCCCGGCCGTGCCCCGAGCGCGCCCCCGCAGGTGCCCCCGCCCCCCAGCAAGTGCCCCCCCCGCCCCGGCCTGCCCCGAGCGCGCCCCCGGCCCCGCCTGGCCCTGCCCCGCCCGGCCGGGCCCCGGCAGCCCGGGTGGCCGCGAGCTCCTCGGGCGCCCCCCTCCCCGGGGCCGCGCCGCCCGCGCCGCCCGCCCCGCCCGCCCCGCGCCGCTCTGCCGCCTCCCGGGGTCGGTGAGCTGGCGGGGCTCCCTCGGTAAGCGGAGCTGTGCCCTCCCGACGCCGAGGCACGTCCCGGGCCCGGTCGCCTACCGCGCGTGGCGGTGCACAGAGGGGACCAGGCCAGAGCCCGGAGGCCCGCGTCCCCGGGGCCGCGAGCAGGTCTGGCGGAGACCTCGGGGCCGGGGTCGGGGCGGGCAGCGGCGGGCGAGAAGGCCCCAGCAGCGGCCTTGCGGAGTGTGCCTCCTTGGCGGTGTAGACGGCGCAGTCTACACCGCAGACCCCCGTTCCGCGGACTTCTATTGCTCGCCCGCCGTGGAAGAGCCACTGAGGAGAACGGAAGAAAGTCAAAGAGGAATCAAAGAGTCGGCTTAAAATGTAGCAGGGGAGATAGAATTCGTAGGTAAATATCCAGTTACCTGCAGATCAGAGAGTTCCAGGTCACTGGCCTGAGTTCCGACGCCCACCTGGGGGCTTGAGGAAGGCTTCTCTGAGCGGGGCCCTGCCTAGGATGGGGCTCAGAGGGGCGCCTGGGGGGCTCAGTGGTTGAGGGTAGTGATCCGGGGGTCCTGGGATCCAGCCCCCTACTGGGTTCCCCCGGAGGAGCCTGCTTCTCCCTCTCTGCCTGTCTCTGCATCTCTCTGTGTCTCTCGTGAATAAATAAATAAAATCTTTAAAAACAAAAAACGAGGGGGCTCAAAGTTCCAACCTTTTAGGATTCAGAGTTGGGTGGAGAGGATAGTCAAAGACTAAGCCACTGTTTCATCTCTAGGTATATGTAAGATTCAACCCATATTGTTAAACCCTAAACTGTGCTGAATTTTTCATTTTTCATTAGACCAACTTGATTTTTCAAGTATTTTTTTTAAAATGTTTATAAAAAGATTTTATGTATTTATTCGAGAGAGAGAGAGAGAGAGAGAGAGGTACAGACACAGGCAGAGGGAGAAGCAGGCTCCATGCAGGGAGCTCCATGTGGGACTTAATCCCAGGTCTCCAGGATCACACCCTGGGCTGAAGGCACGCTAAACCACTGAGCCACCCAGGAATCCCTTTTAAAGTAGTTTCTAAGCCCAACGTGAGGCTTGAACTCACCACCCTGAGATGGGCAGTCACATTCTCCAACGGCTGAGCCAGCCAGGCGTCCTGCCACACATGACTTCTGACGAGGTGGGCTGGCCGGTCACTTAGTCTCTCTGGGCCTCAGTTTGCCCATCTATACAATGAGACTGGACTGGATGATTTCAAATGTTTCCTTCCATTTTCTGAACCCAGCACCACAGCAAAGGTACAGAAGCCAGAAAACACGGGGCCCGGCGAGCAACAAGGGGGAACACCAGGTGGCTGACAGGGCGGTGGTAATCCGGAAGGCTGGAGAGGGAAATGGAGCCTTTGAAGGCAGGTTAGGGAGTGTGGGCTTCCTTTGACAGCACCTGCTAAGCACTGAAAGCTCTTGATCAGAGTGGTGACATGATCCTGGTTGTGTTTTAGGGGAAGTAATGGGACTCGTTTGAAAGAAGATAGGACTGAAGATGAGGGTACCACTTAGGAAGCTAGTCAAGCAATGTAATGTCCCGAAGGAGTTGCCACTGAAAGGAAGAAGGAGAAGGAGCCTTCAGGGACAGCAGCGGAGACGTGGCAGGGCGCAGTGTGGCCAGAATCTGCAACTGACTGGCAGACGGAAACACAGACATGAGCCAAGTGCTCCGAGGTAGGTGCTACAGTCAGAAGGAAGGAAGGCCTCTGAGGAGGCCTCTGCCCTACCAGGAGAAAGGCCCTAGTAAGCCGAAGAATCAAGAGATGACTAAAGGAAAGATTCTGTTCTTTCTTACAGATCTACCAGCCAAGGGCTCAAGCTGTCCAGGAAAACCTTGCATACAAGAGAGACCACACTAAGACACCTCCAGTGCGGCCTACACTCAGATCTGATCAATAACGTCGCTGTGGCTGTATTTAACTCCCCTGGGGACACACTGAAGGTTTCCAGCTAGTTTGTTTCTCTTACAGGTCACACAGAGTGGGGAAAGGTGGAGATAAGGGGACACGATGGGCATTATTTTAAAGATTCATTCATTTAACAATAGCACATAGTAGGCACTGTTCTAGTTGCTTGGATACATCAATGAACCAATCAGGCAAATTGTATCTTAGAAGGTGACAGATGTTCTGGAAAAAAAAATAGAACAGGACTGGCTGGGAGGGGGCCACTGAGGGAGACTTCTAGGATGCTATGAAAATCCTATATCTTGGGATGCCTGGGTGGCTCAGTGGTTGAGCATCTGCCTTTGGCTCAGGGTGTGATCCCGGAGTCCCCGCAGGGAGCCTGCCTGTGTCTCTGCCTCCCTCTGTGTGTCTCTCATGAATGAATAAATAAAATCTTAAAAAAAAAAAAAGTAAGTCCTATGTCTTGATCTGGGTGATGGTCATATGAGTGTACACATATATAAGAGTTCACTGACCTTTACATTTAAAAATAAATAATAAAAATAGAGCAGGGCTAAGAGATTAAAACACTCCTCTCCCCTAGAACCCACAAAAGCATGTTCAAACCCTGTCCCACTGAGTTTCCCTCCCATGTCACCTTCCCTGTCATTGAGAAGGCAACTCTCAGATCATGTCAGCTGCCATGGCTGAGAAAGGAAATAGCTGACCTGGAAGTCCTGACTTTTGTCCTCTCTGAAAGAACCATGCCAAATTTCAGGGTGCCTTGCCAGGTCAATCCCTGGAAGTGTTTCATGAATGCGACAAAGATTGATTTTGAAACGTATCTTACATGAGTCACTGCTTTGTCCTGGCAGCAGCCCTGATCCCACCAGCCTCTGCGTTTCTTTCTCAGCGCACCTTGATGGGATTAAATAAGCATTCTGGTTTTATTTAGAAGCCACTCCCATTCCCTTTACCTTGCAAGGGGAAAATAATTCCATGCAGGGGAAAATAATTAACAGAAACCATCATTTCTAAATAAGGGTAACAATGCTTTTCAGCTTTTGTAATTTCCTGTTTCTTTTTGGGATTTTTTTTCTCCTCCTCCTCTCTCTCTCTCTCTTCCCCATTTCTTGGCAACACTCCTGTGCGTTTTCATGATGTGGGTAGGAAGGCTGGAGAGGTTGCCAAAAGATCTAGCTCATTTTACTGAAAATTCATTTCCTAGAATCTTTTTCTACAAGCTAGGAGCCAAAGAACAAAAGAAATGTTTAAAGGGAGGTGATACTGCCTGTATTCAGTGCTTTACTAAGCTCAGTGGTCACTGAAATTAAGTATTTAATGCCAGCGGAAAGGTATTTATGCCCCACTAGGTGCTATTGTAACCTGTGCTTGGCAGTCAGGATCAACTCAGTTGGAAGGCAAATTCTTCCCAGCCGTTTTCTAGACCAGCTCCAGAATTCTAAGCATGGTAAGAAGGTACCTCGTTGGTGAGCCTGTCTTTGCAATAAGTGGAATTAGAAGCTTCAAATAGGGTGTCCCACTTTCTTTTAAATGGTATTTAAGACAACAGATATTAATGATAAAGTCTGTTGTCTCTGCAAAGATAATTTTCCAAATTCCTTCTGATTTAATATGCTGGAATTCCACCTCCTTTACTACTTACTGACTTCTTTTTTTCTGACCATCGTTTTAAATGAAAAGTTGGATTGCAAAATAAACCTTAAACATCAGGTAACTAAAAAAAAAAATCAGGTAACTAAGTGTGTCTCAGTTATTTTGTTACTGCCCATGCTTAACAGGCAAGAGATGTCAGGGGAGGTAATATTTCTCAGCACTTTATTAAAATTCACGTCTCTTTCTTTCATATTCATGACTATCTAAATATATAGGGTTAGTCTGCAGTTATTTTTTTTCTACAAGGAGATGTTAGTTACCTACTGTTATATATGAAAATGTCATGAACATTATGTTGAACTGAGCTGATAACACCAGTTAAACTTAATCCGTATAATTAATCAACAATTATCCAAAATACCATTGTTGGTATATGTAGCCATATTTTTGTGTGATTGTAAGAAGTTTGTGTGTATCGCCTTAGGTTCTGTTTTCATAATTTACCGTTGTATCATGAAAACAGTTCACTTCCCAACTTCATCCCTCATCTCTCGCAAACTAAGCTCCAGCTATCCCAAGCTGCTTGCAGTTCACTGAATTCTAAATAGCACTTGATGGGGGCGCCTGGGTGGCTCAGTCACTTAAGTCTCTCCTTTGACTTTGGTCACGAACTCTGGGACCTAGGATTGAGCTCCCCCATCTGGCTTCCGCTTCAGTGGGGAGTCGGTTTCTTCCTCTGCCTCTGCTCCTCCCTCCCTCCCTCCCTCCCTCCCTCCCTGCTCCTCTCTGGCTCTCTCTCTCTCTCTCTCTCTCTTTCCGTCTCAAATAAATAAATGAAATCTTAAAAAACAAAAAATAGCACTTGATGTTTCCTCTGTACTCCTGATTCATCTGCCTGGTCTCCAGCTCCAAAGTAACTTTCTCAGAATAATCCTTGCCCCAGACACCCCCAGACAGTAGTTCCCATAGCTAGGGAAGCTATAATCCATTGTATTTTAGCCACTTACCTGTAGTCATTCCCCACTGCACAGTGAGCCCTTTGAAACCTGAGACTGGGTCCTTATTCTTCTTGGTCTCTCAGAACATTGTTCTGGCACCTGAGTGTCTATCTGTTCTTGTAGAATGGTATGCATAGTCATCACTCTCAACAGTTGTATTTTCTTCTGCTCACAATTTATTTAATCATTGCTATTCTTTTTTTTTTAATTTAAAAAATTTTTTCTGTATTTATTTATTTGAGATAGAGCGAGTGAGAGAGAGCAGGAGCCCGGGCGGCGGGTAGTGGGAGGGCACAGGGAGAGAGAGAAGCAGGCTCTCCATCGAGCAGGGAGCCTGACATGGGGCTCTATCCGAGGACCCTGGGAACACAACCTGAGTGGAAGGCAGATGCTCAACTGATTGAGCCACCCAGGTGCCCCCTAATCATTGCTATTCTTGAATATTTATGTATTAACCAGATTGGCTTCCAGAAATATCTGACCAACTACAACCCACCACTATTTAAGAATCTTTTAAATATCTTCCTTTTCTCTAATTCTTATTATTTAGTGGTTGTGATTTGCCCTTCTTTAATTGCTTCTAGGAACAGCGTGTTGCCAGTACAAGACAAGCTTGTGTTTTATTAGAATTAGGACATGATTAAGCCTTTGTTGCCATCACTGGAGCAACAAAAAGAATGGTATTCAAATTCCCCCATAAAGTTATAGCAGCCTATGCTGTGTATGAATACTGCCTTTTTATTTTTCCTAAGCTGCCAGCCAGCAAGAATGGTTGTCCCTCCCAATTAAATGCAGAAGCAAAACAGTAAGAAACAATTTTTCACTGATGACACTGGCAAAGACAAAAAAAAGTCTGCACTTGCCCTGCATGGACGGTGTTTTTGAGGAAACAGGCATTCATAGGCTGTTGGTGGACACTTACACTGTGCAACTCTTTTGGGAGGAAATTCAGAAACTTATATCAAAACATATGTGACTTGTGCCCCAAGAATCCACATCTCAGAATTTATCCTAGAGATGTATTTGAGCAATTACACAAAAGTAAGTGTACATAAATATTCATTGCACCATGCTTTTCACTGCAAAAGTCCAGAGGTGACCTCAATGTCCATTAATAGTGGTTGAAGCCATATAATGGGATAATAATCAGCCTTTTCTTTTTTTTTTTTAAGTTAGAGACATCTACTTGTGCTGCTGTTTGGAACATCTCCAAGATTTATTTTTATATAAAAATGCAAAGTACAGAAGAGTGCGTGTGTATAAATAAAATATACGTGTGATGTTTACAGGTTATCTCCATTTGTGTAACATATAAATAATACACATGTGTGTTTTATATGTGTGTGATAGGTAGGTAGACGGATGGATGGATGGATGGATGGATGGATGGATGGATGGATAGAGGATAGATAACCTGTAGGAATGCAAAGGAAATTGTTGACAGTGCTCATCTCTGTGGAGGAGACTATTTTTTCACAAATGTCTTTGTACAATTAAATTTTTTTTTTACTATGTTCCTGTATAATTTTTGAATTTAACTCAGTTTGGTCAAAGTAATAAATACCTATAGTTTAACAGCTCAAGTTAAAACTACAAAGTTGCTAATGAAAGACAATAATCCCCCTGCCCCACCATTTCTCATGCTCAATGATGTTCTCCAGAGAACTTCTGGTTGGTTCTTGCATTTACTTTCATAATACCAGTAACATACTTATATTGCCATTTCTGATGTTTTTCTGTCTTAGACATCATCTATGGCCTTCCTGCTATAGGGGAAGAAGAGTTAACTGTCATGCACCCTATTTCCAGCACCCTCACTCGCTCTCTCTCCCATCATAACTAGATTGCCGTTTATAGTTAAATTGTGTTCAGTAGATACAGTATTATGACTATGGAAATATTGTTGGCATCTAAGCCACATGGTATTCTATGATTACATTCCCTTTCTCATAAAGTGTTTGGTTTTGACCTGGGTTAAGTATTGCCTCCCCTCCCCAACCCCCATTTACTACCCCTCATCTTTTTCCTACCATTAATTCAGGGCCCAAATTGCTCACATAACCACAAGGCTCCTCCCAGGACTGTCAAACACATAATTCATCAGTTTACATTCTTCTCCCTTGGGATATCCCCTGCTGGAGCCTTCAGTCCCCTGTTCCTGTGTAAATAGATTGTTGTTCTGCAGGACTTCCCTTCACCATCCTTCTAAGACGTCCTGTTACTTCACGTTTTCTTTTTTGTTGGACCTGCCAATTCTGGTGGAGCACATCTGAAAAAGGAAACATTGGAGAGGAATGTGTTGAGGCTTACTATGTCAGTTAGGATGGCTTTAGTGTTCTGGAATACAGATGGGTTGTTTTATCATCATCATCATCATCATCAAACCTGTAAGTGTCTGGAGAAGAAGGGTTCACAGTGTGATTAGTGGCTCAGTGATTCCATCAAAGCCCAAGTATTTCTCATATTTCTGCTCTGTTCTCATCACAGTGGTGGCTATGTCCCTCTTTCAGGTCACAGGCGGCTGCCACAGCTAGCCAATTACATTTGCCAGAAACTGGTCACCTGGTTGATCCTAGCTTGGTAGGAGACTGAGAGAATGAGTATAAGGCATTATCAGTACTCATTGTGGGAACTGGTCTCCATCAGTAAGGATGGAGTTTTGGGGGAGTAACTGGGATAAGCAATCCACTGGGCCTGTACATTTCCACTTCTGGAAATGTCTTTATTTTACTTTCATACTTTAACTGGGTATAGAATTCAAGGTTGAAGGAGGTTTTTTTTTTAATTTTTTTTTAAGAATTTATATATTTATTCATGAGAGACACAGAGAGAGAGAGAGA